GATTTTAGGACACCCTTAGGTTCACTTGACACCCCCCCAAGGCCTTGACCTCCCCCCCAATGCCTCCATGTCCCCCCTCAAAGGTCTGGGGACCCCTCCAGGGCCTCCCCAAGAGCCTTGACTCCCCCCCAGGGCACCTGGAATCCCCCCTAAAGCCTTGACCTTCCTCCTCAGGGCCCCCCCTCACAAAGCCTCAGAACCCTTCCATGTCCCACCCACCCACCCAAGAACCTCAGAACCCCTCCAGGGGTCCCCCCAAAAGCCTCAGGGCACCCTTAGTTCACCCGATACCCCCTCAAGGCCTTGACCTCCCTCCCCAACGCCCCCCCCTTCCAAAGGCCTGGGGACCCCCTCAGGCTCCCCCCTCCCTCCCCGCTCTCCCCTCACCGTTCCAGGGCGGCGGGACCCACTTCTCGGTCTCCTTGCTCGGGTACATGACGGCGCCGGCGAATTGCTGCGCCCACTCCACGTCGGGCTGCCATTGCCGCGACCTACGGGGGGGGACACACGGGGGCCGTGAGGGGGGGGACAAGGACTGTCATGAGGGGAGAGGGACCACCCCAGAGGGACCACCACGGCCGATCCCCCCCCAGCCCCTCGCAGCCCCCCGCTCTGCCCTCCCCGGTGTCTCCCGGGTCTCACCGGGCAGGGGCCGGGCCCAGGCGGGGTCCCACCGCCCTCAGCCCCGCGGGGCCGCGGAGCCGCCACAGCGCCCGCAGCGCCGCCATCGTGCCCTTGGCGCTGCGCATGCGCGGCGGGGAAGGGCAGAAGCGGCGGGAGACGCCATGTTGGGTGTGGGCAGGGGAAGCCATGTTAAAAGACGCCATGTTGGGTGTGGGCAGGGGAAGCCTGAGGGAGACGCCATGTTGGGTGTGGGCAGGAGGAAGCCCCAGAATCGCAGAATCTCCAAATATTCACATCTAAATATTGGATTTTTTTGTGATATCTCCAAGTATTCACATCCACTTATTGGATACTTTGAGATTATCTCCAAATATTCACATCCAACTGTTGGATTTTTTGGGGGATTTTATCTAAATATTCACACCCAGATGTCAGATATTTCCAGACAGCGAATGCAACCTTTTATTTTTCCAGGAATATCCGCAATTCCAGCGGCATCACACTGGAGAGGAGTCAACTCCCCAACATCGCAGCAGCTCTGTGCTCATCCAGAGGGAGGATCCCACGATCCCTGAGATCCCTGTGATCCCTGAACCTGATCCCTGTGATCCCTGTGTCCCATCCCTGTGTCCAATCCCCGTTATCCCTGTGACCAATCCCTGCTATCCCTGTTTGTAATCCCTGTGTCCAATCCCTGTTCCCAATCCCTGTGTCCAACCCCTGCTATCCCTGTTTTCAATCCCCATTATCCCTGTTTCCAATCCCTGTATCCAATCTCTGTGTCCAATTCCTGTTATCCCTGTTTCCAATCCCTGTTTCCAATCCCTGTTATCCCTGTTTCCAGTTCCTGTTATCCCTGTTTCCAGTTCCTATTATCCCTGTGTCCAACCCCTGCTATCCCTGTTTTCAATCCCCATTATCCCTGTTTCCAATCCCTGTATCCAATCTCTGTGTCCAATTCCTGTTATCCCTGTTTCCAATCCCTGTTTCCAATC